AATGATGACCGTCATCGTGGAGGTGTTCGTGGAGTTCGGGCTACCGGTATAGGAGAAGAAGACGGAGACGCTTCTGATGCGCGTAAAGGAGAAGCAGACAACAGCACCACCCCCCCCCCCCCCCGCCGCCACCGCTGACCATCGAGGCAGCAGGGCAGACGTATGCCCACACGACCGAATTCCGGTACCTAGGTTGCCTCGTCAACGAACATGGCGACCTCAAGCGGGAGATCAGTTACCGGAGCAGAGCAGCGTGGGCATGCGTGAGGAGGTATGGTCAGGAGCTCTTCGACAGGCCGAAAGGACCGTTCCGACTCAAGAATCGCCTGCTCTAGGCCAAGGTGATGGAGGCACTCCTGTACGCCTGCATGACATGGGCCCCATGTCAAGACCAACACCGGACGTTGAGAACGATACACCACCGGCTGCTTTCCTACACCCAGACCCTGAAGAGGGTTGGGTGCCAGAGCGTGGAAACCCCGATTCGGCAACGGCGCCTGCTGCTGGCGGGAGCGCTGGTGAGGCAGCCAGACAAACGACTTCCGAAACGGGTGATGCTTAACGAGCTGGTGGGGGGGGATGGCCAAGGCAGAGGGAAACCGGAGAAACCATGGCAGACATGCCTGAAGGACGACCTCGAAATGTTCGAAGCAGAGCACGGATCTACGGACGCCGAGCCATGCTTTTTCGGAGTCCCCGGAACAACTTGGATGGAAGCAGCGAATGTGGAATTGGCGTTACCGTGGCATACAGGGGTACTATAGGGAGTTAAGAGGTTCATGGCCTCCTGGCACAAGAAGGAAGAGGAGGCTAGCCGACAACGAGCGCCCAAACGGAACAAGAAGCCCGTTAACAACACGGACACGGCAATAACCAGGTGGGAGGGAACAGCAGGCGGACGAGACGGCGAGGAAATACAGGAAACACGAAAAGGCGGACCGAGTGGCGTGAAACACTATGCCGAATTGAACCCCTTCCTTGACTTATACCACCCCCCCTGTCACTATCACCGCTCCCCCTGTCACTATCCCCCAGTCTCCCATCCGGCGATGTTTGCCATCGGGATTGGATTTTCGGGCAACGATGTTGTAAAACAAGCCTATCGCTTCGTGAGCTCAGTAACCCGGTTAACGTTTTTTTTTTTTCGTAATTTTTGCGGTAACCATGAATGGTGGTCGAGTAGATTTTGTGGTACGAGGTCGAGAATCCTCACTCCGCGCAAAGGGGATAATCGCACGTTGTCTTGGATTGGTCAAACACCCTCGAGGCAGTTACATAGCGCTTACAACTGTCTCTGGAAGTGAAAGCACCAGAAAATTAGTTGGGTCATACGCAGCAGCCATCCGTACGCAAGGAAGTAAGCACAAGATGCCGGACACGCTCAGCGGGATGCAGCGCACCCTTCATGCGACTTGCCAAGTATCTTACGGCGCTTCGCGCTTGGTGATGTGAGAGCTTGGTACGGTGAGAACCCGGCGTGCTCCGTCCCGGCTTTGTAGGGATGTGAGGGCAATCGTCTAGCGACTACGGCATGGACAAGTCTGCGTACACCGCCCCGGAACAGCACCGTTGAACCAACACCCCGCGAGCGATGACGTGCATTTGTTGGCACGGGTGGCCTGCATAGTATTGTGATGATTTGTGTTGTCATGTGCTGTACGGACAGAAGAAAATACTGGGCAGAGAGAACGGAACTTTATTTTGATGTGAAGTCATCAACAACACCAACAACATACAGGACTTCGGCATTCCTGTTCAACCGACCACTATATATATCGGGACACCTTTGATACTGGGTTATGATCCAATTTTTGGTTGGAATGTATAAACGAATTTTTGATTGCTGACAACTCTTGGCCCAAAATCGAGATTTATCCCAACGATTGTGTCCCGACGAGGATAAAGCAGTAGGTTTGAGACTACCAAGACTTTTCGTATACCTGTAGATCTTTCAAGTGGGTACACGTTCGTTTTTACAGTTTTTGTGCAGACCCACCGATCGACGCTATTATAACGTGTGAACCTCACATCGTCGAAGCTAACTTCCTTATATATACCGTTCGTGCTCATGTGGCGATGTCATCCTCGTTTCTACGTGCTCTGCCTGTCGAACCACCGCACACTTCCAACGCATGCTCGGCACCCTCCCTATTAGGGGGCGGGGGGCCAATCGTTCCCCCTTTTGTCGTGCTTGTATACTCCGTCCAAACCCGTCGCAAACATCTGGAAAAGTAACCAACTTCAACACGGAGGGCTTTAGTCTTCTGTTCGCCGTTCATCATCAGCGTGTTGAGACCATACCTGAACGAGGGGTTTCAGAATCGGTGTCGAGCCAGAGGATGTGGTGGGTTGTGGAGTGTGCGTAAATACAAGCATAGGAAAGACTGCCCATTTTTCGTAATTTATTTCAAAACCTTTCCTGACCTGTCACCAATGAATCATTTCGGGGAGAAGAAATAGGCAGGATGAATGCTTGCATGCGTTTCTTCACAGAATTCATCTGATCTGTGCTGCGAAAAACGAACGCCTTTCCCCCTTATCGGAAGGTATCCCTGGCGTGGATTTCAAACTTGACAAGGATTGACGAGAGTCGCCGAGGCCACCGCCGCACGTACCACTGGTGACCAAACCTCCGGGTTGTAGAGGCACATTGGGCAACCTCAACCGAACTTGCCTTGGGCATCGCTTGCTACCTGACCTTCGAAACGCCTGCAATGTAAGCTGGAAAGGAATTCGGGGCACTGTGTACCTAGTGCGTGGGCAGGTTGCCGATGTTTGTGGAAGTTTTACCTTACCTTGGGGGTTGGCGCATTGTGTACAAGGCTGATTGCCTAGGGTTTCGCAGGCAAACCCATTGCTCAGAAACTTCGTGTCAGCACCCACTCAGCACTTTTGTTTTCCACCTCGTTTTTTCCAAGACATTTTGGATGCGGGTATCAAATCACTACCGTAGTTATAGCACATATCCAAAATCTCTCAAACGACCGCTTCATATTAATCCATTCCGCAGGTTATCATCTCGAGCCCGTTGTCGACGACGTTTGGAGCTGCTGAAAAATAAGCGAGACCCAACAGATATAAAAAACAAATTCCAAATAGCGTTCCTTTTTATTCTCACCAGCGACGTCGATCACAGAGATGATCCATGCACAGAACGGAGACAACAGATACACGCACCGACAGCGCGTTTCCTAATCTATCAGTATTTTCGAGTCAGTTCTTCTCCTCAGATAGTATGGGATTCAAACAGTGGCATCACCGCCCGCAGAGGTTGGTGTTGCCACTTCGTTGCGAAAGGAAATAAATAATTATAGTCCGTGCACAACAGAAAATCCAAAACTTTCCTGGCACAAATCACAACTTTCTTTGCACACAGACAGGTGGTTGTTCCGACATCTGAAAGTGCCGGCAAACGCCCTGTTTCCAGGCGCATGGAGTGACGGAAAGTTTTTTTTTTTCCTTGGCTTTTTATCGGCACAAAACCGGGAAAATCGAATTATTTTTCCAGGGGTGTGTTCTTGACCGATTTACAAAAACTCTACGGATGTGAACGCGTCTCGCAATTTGCCGGGTCGGTGAGATATCGCTCAAGAATCGACTGCAGAGCATCAGTTTGAACTCTAGTTTGGGTGATAACTAACCGACCGATTTAAAAATAAACATCGGCAATCGATTCCTCTCCTCAGTATCTAGGTCGGTACTGCTGGGATTTGTTGGGAAAAATCTGGTTTCCGAGATACAGTATTCCACATTTTGTTGTGCCGTCCCCATGGGAGATTGTTTTTTGGATGGGGCAACACGCACATGTTGCGGCCCAAAACACGAAACACGCACGCAAGCACCATGGGGAAGCCTAGGGGACGGGCTAAGAGGAAGAAGTTCGGCAGCCGCGGAACCGATGGTCGGGCGATTTCGAAGAAGTCGGAAGCCGGCATTGCAACATGATCTTCCATCTCCCGGCACTGATGACGCGCTCTCGGATGACCACGACGACGCATTCTTGATGGACGTGGATGAGGAGGAAGGAAAGGCGGCAGCGGACGATTGACGTCAACGACGAGGACTGTGGCGATGAGGATCCCAGCGGCGCACACAGCAGTGGTAGAGGTCAGTCGATACTGAGCTTTGCACAGCAGTCGATAGTGCCCGCAGGTCGCTCGGCAGGAAACGCGGCGAATAAAATCCCGCCGGGTCTTCAGTCGAAGAGCCGGAGCCAACAATACCGCAACAGGAAAAAGCTTCTAGGGCAACAGGCGGTAGGCATGGCACGAGCTATGGGAGCGTGGATGCGGCGGGCGCAGCTGCCGCAGCAGCAGCAAGGAGAGGAGAGCTCCTCTGTCGGTGGCGATTTTGTTCCAGCTGAGGAGCCAGCCGTTGGTTTAGAGATTGCGCCGCACAGCAGCCCTCCGAGCGGCGGCACCGCGTGCAGAGATGCGGAGGTCAGCAGTAGCTGTGGCAGCGTCGGCGACATGTCGATAGCTTCGGGCCATGGGCCTGGCATAGAGGTGTGGTACAGTCGTCGCGAGATGAAAGACGCCGAAGAAGAGCTCGAGAACTACTGCGACACATCATCCGACGGTTTTCTCGACGGTTTGGACTTCAGCAGCGGCAGCAACAGCAGCAGCAACAGCAGAAGCAGCTCTGACGAGAGGGTTACCACCCCCACGCCTCTTAGCAAAGAAGCAGTAGACATTCTTCAGGGAGGTGGGGGTGGAACGTGAGGTCGGCGACAGTGTGCAAGGTGCCGGAGTGCTCTCAACCCCAGAGCTTGTCGCACCAGCGCCCTCCCGCCGAAGCACCCGACAAGGTCGATTCGACGGTGTGTTTGGTGCACCCACGCGCCAATACCGGTGCGACAGCCACGAAGGTGGAACAGAGAGGGGGAACAAGGCCATGGCGCCGGAGGAGGTCCACGACACATCAAATCTCACTTCGGCACAGTTCAGGAAAACCTAGAGACTACGCCTCGCCAATAAGGCAGCGCCGCTGGAGCGGAAGGTATGGACGGCTGCGGCGCTGGCTCGGGCGAGGGGCCGAACGAGAAGCACTGGTCGAGGCGGAAGGCAGATCTGATGGAAACCTACCGCAACGCCCTCGGCACACCTCAGAAGGTGAGACAGGTGATAACAGTCACAAGTGGTACTAGCGCCACCGCCAAAATTGTCAGGTGTTTCTTTTGTGCGGGCAGAGGTTTTCTCGCCACGAGCTTCATGTTGTGTTATTGTGTTGCTCTCGTCTGCCTCTATATCGAAACCTACGGTTGACACGAGATGGCATTGCAGCTGACGGCAACATCTCGAAAACACAAGTGTGCTTCCTCCTTCCTCACAGGTTGAAGAGATGAACAACAACGGATCAGTGGTGGAGGACCCGAAGATAATGCTGGATGAAAGACACATGGTTCAAACCACCCGTGTTGTCCGCGCCGTGAAGCATTTCCTGCAGCTCGAGTGAGTGTGTGCGGGGAAAGTGCAGGCTGCTCTACTGCTGTTGTCTTTCGTCCCCTCTTTGAGGATGTATTTGTTGGAAGGGGGCTGTTGTTCTACTGCAATACGGGCGCTGCATGTTGCTGTCGGGTACTTGCTGCTGCGCGATGGTGCTGTTTGATAAGAGGATACTCAGTATACCGATCATTTCCCCGAAACGAAAATACTGTCTGACTTTTCCCGACTTTATGACAGAGTCCAAGATGGGGTCGCGAAGATGGAGCACAGCAGAGAAGTCGCCAAGGTGTACGAGGTCGACCCGTCGACGGTGCGGCGGTGGGTGAAGAAGTTGTGCAAGGGCGGCTCCGTCGTTATCCGCAAACGGCAGTACAACAAGCGCGAGGCGCACCCCTACATCGACGACGAGGACATCCGCAACGGTCTGAGGGAGTACATCGACCGGAGGTTGTACCGGCGGAAGAGAGACGAGCCACGCCTTCGAATCGCAGACGTGCAAAAGTGAGTGAGAATAGAGGAAACGGAGGCATGTTAGTCGTTGGTGGAGGTGGGCGCGCAAATTGTTGTGAGAGAAAAATGTGAGGGGTGTATCATATGAGGGACGCTGCTATTGTACTCGAGTGCGGTTTCTCGCCCTACAAGTAACGTGACACCCTATCTTCGGGATGATTTTCTCCAGTTTAATCCCAACCTTCGGAATGGGGTCTATTTCATGCATTGTACTTTCTCAGTTGGCCAGTGACCCGTCTCCTCTCACTTAGCTTTCCGTGGTAGTAATCTATCTCAGGTAGTGCGAATAACCTCCTCCCCACCCACCCACGACCTTTTCAATTGTTTTGGTGGTCTTTGTTACATGCACTCATCCTGTCACGCATCCTGCCACTCATCCTGCCACGTTGTTACTTTGCAACAGGTGGATCAATGACGACCTCCTGAAAGAAGAGCTTGCCGGTACGAGAGGATTTTCTCGGAGGACCGTGCACAAGTGGATGCAGAAGCTCGACTTTCGTTGGTCGAGGCACCGCAAGTGGGTCGACGTGGACGGCCACAACAGACCGGACGTCGTCACTGTGAGAAGCGTGTCCCAAGCAGTTGCTAGCTCGGGGCGTTTTCTCAGGAGCCTGAAACCTCAAACACCCCTCAAGTTCTTTTTCCCTCTCTGTTGGCGTGTTGTGAAGTATCACGTGCAGTATACCTCTCTTTGTGTTCACCTCCCTCCCCCCCCCGCACACACAGAGTAGTAGTTCACGTCGGGTGTAGTGGTTTATCGGTCCCTGCTTTGCGAAAACCGTAGTTCACGTGTGGTGTGGTGGTTTATCGTTCCCTCCTTTACCGAGAACCGTCTGGGGGAAAGCTTCTGTGCATGTGTGTAGTGTGTTCGTTTTTTTTTTTTCCAGTTTGTGAAAGTGATGTGCATTTATTTTCCCATCTAAAAATATTGGCTGGTGATCCTTGTACTATACTAAACCTATCGTGGTCTTTTCGGCTGAATTTATGTTTGCCCCGTTGGCAGCCCCGTCCGCGTGGAAGAAACGGTGATGGTAACAACCAGCCGCAGTGAAGCTCGGCAGTAGCGAGCATCGGATGACCCGGACGTCAACGGCGACGAGCGGGACGGCGGCGCCAGGTCGGAGACGAGAGACGATGAGCACACCAATGGGGAGGCGACCACGGGCCGGGAACCTCTCTTCTAACCAGCAGTGAGGCAAGTCGAGGGCAAGAACGAATACAAGCACGTGCGCGTCTACGGCGACGGCGAGACGTCAAAGCGCGTGGCAGGCGACTGCACGCGCGTTCCGTTCGACCTGCTCGACTTGGCGGCATCCGACTCCAAGGGTGACTACCCCTTGCTCCCTGATGACGAGGTGAAGAAGTTCTACCGGCCGAAGGTGAAACGCGAGGTGCTTTTCTGGCCAGCAGTGCGGACGGTCGACGGCGACGAGTAGTACAAGCACGTGCGCGTCCACGACCCCGCCAATGCTCTGGGGAGGGATTGCGTACGTGCGCAGAAGCTCGAGGAATGCTCAAGCAACCAGCGAAAACCCTGGGGCAGGTGCTTGTACTACCTTCGATGTGAGTGCTACGACTGCATGCGCGAGCCGGGCGTCAACTCCACGCAGGTCTCGTTCGAATAGCGCGACCTCATCGCAACCGACGGCAGGGGGGACTACCACCTGCTGCCTGATCACAAAGTGTCGTCGCTGTTGTTCCACGACGAGACCACGGCGAAGGAGAACGACGATGGGGACCACCAATGGATATCGGAGAAGAAGGGGGCTGCCATGAAAGTCAAGGGGGAGGGCCACGCCGCGCACATCTCGGATGTGATCGGCGTCGACCTTGGGCAGCTGCAGATCAGCAAGGAGGCGTGGGGCATGATGCAGGAGGACCACGATGCCGGTACCGGGCGCTCTAGAAAGTACTTCGGCAGGACGGAGGGGGAGGGGGAAGAAGGCCACGAGGTGAAGGAGGTTCAAGTGCGGCGGTGAACGTGCTGAAGAAGGCTGCTGGAGACTGCGAGGTGCTCAAGACAGCGAACGACCCACGGACGGCGGTTGCCATCATGACCGTTGGGAAGCAGCACGATGGCTACTGGACGAGCGACCGCATGTGCGCCCAACTGCCGGCGGCTATCGCCACGTTCGAGCTGACGCATGGGCCGCACCGGCAGGGTGTCTCCATCTTCGACAATTCCACCGGGCACAACACTTATGACGACGACGCGCTGCTGGCCCACAAGATGAGCTTGGCGCCTGGCGGGGAGAAGACCGCGCTCAGGGTGTTCGAGGATGACAACGGGAGGACAGTACACCCTACACCCCAGCTTGGTGGCACCCTGCTCACCGACAAGAAGATTTTCTTGCCGAAGACAGAGGCGCAAGAGAAGACCAAGGGGCGCAAGTTTGGAACGGGGCTCGACAAAAAGCAGTACCCCTTTGGAACCAAAGCCACACCTGGATCGCCGCTGCTTGGGCTCAACAAAGGAGGAGAGCAGATGCTCAAGGGGATGGGGTTGTGGCGGCTTGACGGCGAGAGGGCGAAGGGGCTCGTCAAGTGTTCCAACAAGTGCAAGGCCCACAACGCGACATCACGGCAGGCGATCGCAGCATTCAACAAAGACGGTCGGGAACGGGAGAGACTTGTAGAGCAAGCGCAGCGGGAGCAGCAGAATTCTTCCGCCTAAGATCCCGCGGCAGCAGCAGGGGCAGCTGGGAAGAGGCAGCGATGCTGTATGGAAAGGGTCTTCTCCGACCTGGGGGCTTTCAGGGCGCAGATCAACAAGGTCCAGCAGATCTTCAAGGACGCCGGGCACGTGTGCATCTTCCTTCCCAAGTACCACCCTGAGCTCAACGCTATTGAGCGGTTCTCGGGATACATCAAACACATTCTTTGCATTCACTGCCAGTACTCCCTCACCCACATGCTCAAGATTCTGCCGGGCGCGTTGAGTGGGGTGCCGTTGGAACATATCCGCGCGTGGAGTACCGTGAACTCAAGGAGTGGCACACGCACTGAGAAGCCATCTGGAGGGGGGATGCCGTCTTGGAGGCAACGGGAGGCAAAACACAAGCGGAAAAGAACGCCGTGGCGGCAAAGGCATTGGCGGCTTCGCACGAATGCCGAACCTTCTCCACGAGGAGGGCGAAAAAGGCATCCAAGAAGTGGAAGAGGAAGCGCGCCATGGCGCAGGGGGGGGCAGAGAGGGAGGGGGGCGAGGAGAAGGGGGCCGAGAACGCTGCGTCGTGATGTGAGTGTGTTTTCAGTTCGTGGTAGCTTTGCCGGATTGTTGTGTACCTTGTGCTGCATGTTTCCGTTTTTTTCATGTTGGCCTTCTACTTTTTTTCAGCACTCACTCCCTTACGATTGACTGCCCCCGAGTGTTTGTATAGGTTTATGTACATGTATAGACCCGTCAATGTTCATATTTTGTGCCTTTGAACGTCCAACGGTGTTGTCGATCATGCGTCTGGGTGGTATCAATACAAATGCTAGCATGTGGTGTCCGTAATGTAGAGGGTGACGGGGGGCTTCGGGGGTACGGTCGGGTGTTCCGCGAATGCACAGGGGATCTATGTCGTGTTCAGGGGGTTCCGTGTATGATATTTGTCAAAATTGTTGCATATCGTCAGAACAAAAAACCTCTGCAGCTATCGATGTATCTCGACGAGGCGGTCACGACCATCGTTGTTTCACGTTCCAACTCTTTAAAAAGGTATCACACAAAAAGTGAACGCACAAGTTGTTGTCCACGGACCGTATGGCGAGGAGAAATGTTTTCTGAAACAAACATCGATATTTATTTATTTCCATCCGCGACGATTGTATTTTTGGAAAAGAATAGACCGAAAATAGAGTCGAAAAGAAATTGGAGAAATATTCAATCATCGTTGGGCGGGTGGGTGGCATCTCAAAAGAAGGCTCTCTTTCCCACTGTTCTACTGTCTTGCGAAGGTTTGATGAAAGGAAGTGAGTGGGTGTTCTTCCTCCTCCTGTGTTCTGGTTCTTCATGTCTGGAAAATTTTGAAATCATACTTTTTTCTTCATTTCTGGTTGTGAGAATCCATCAGTATTTTCGAGTCAGTTCTTCTCCTCAGATAGTATGGGACGCGAACAGTGGCATCACCTCCCGCGGTCGGTGTGTCCACTTCTCCCTTACTTCGGAAACGCACTCGATCGAGATGAGTTTTCTCATCCCATACTTAACTAACTAACAGATGAATCTGGAGGTATTGAGATATGGTTGAAATAAGGTAAGTCAAATTAACAAATGAGACCATCTTAAGAAGAGCCTTATTGCTAAACGCTGCCAACGACCGGCTCTGCTCACTCAAACCGAGCTCATTCAGCTGCCTGTACTGGTCCTTTGAAACTCCTTCGGTCATAGCTGTACCCTCTGATCCTGGGGCTACCACCTCCATTAACCTCATGTATCGCCACGCCGTCTTCGGGTCTTTCCAATACGCCTTCTGCATGATAGTCGACAGAGAGACCCCCGCGAGGGCTCTGGAAACCGCCCCTCCTGACCGAAAGGAGTGTAAAGAGAACCGTTGGGTCTCCCCTACCTCCGTAGTGTATCATCTCAGCGCTTCAGACATCTTGCTAGTAGTCACCGGCAAACTGCCTCTCTGCGCTCGACCTTGCCGAGACTCGGAAATGTCCGGAAAGAGGTACCCTGATGTTGTGTCCCATCCGACCTTTTTTCCCACTGCGACCAAACGCTCTACCGCTCGAACTGGGCAGATCCCCACGTATTCCTCGTCATACGGTACGGTTAGGATATGATCTGCTCCATCTCGCTGGGTTTTCCCCCATTGAAAGTTGCACATGAGACCGCTCCGATTTGAGAGCCGCAAAATGCGCTGAATGAGGATATTTGTAAGCTCCACCCCTCGCTCGGTCGTGCTAAAAGCTACCGAAAACAACGCAATGTCCCTAGCTAACGTGACCCGTTCGACGCCCGACGAGGCTTACTGAAGCCTGATCTGCATTGGAAGAATGATCTTCTCCAGATGGCTTCGGAGAATCACCGGTGCTAGCTGCACCAATACTCCCGCCTGCTTTTGTCCACACGTGGTGAACGCCATGTATTGTGCAATTACACAGGTGGAGGTCGCACCCCCTTGGGGACTTTTCGGCAAGGGGGGGGGGGGGGGGTCATCGGCAAGGTCGAGCCCCTGAAGAGTCCGTTGGGTTGTCCAACCTCCGTCCCTTCACCAACCTTGGCAACCCCTGACAGAAGAACGGTTTGGCAAACTCATTGCCTAGGATGTGCTTGCCAAGCTCGTTCGCGTACGTGAGATTGGCAAGGCTAGTTATAGCCAGCGTGCGATTGGCGATTGGCAAGGTCGTTTTCAAACTTGAGATTGGCAAGGCTAGTGCGGGAACGTGTGATTGGCAAGGCTCATTGCCAACGATGTGCTTGGCAAGGTCGTTTTCGAACTTGAGATTGGCAAGGCTAGTTATAGCCAGCGTGCGATTGGCGATTGGCAAGGTCGTTTTCGAGCTTGAGATTGGCAACGCTAGTTCGGGAACGTGTGATTAGCAAGGCTCATTGCCTACGATGTGCTTGCCAAGCTAGTTCGCGAACATGAGATTGGCAAGGCTAGTTCGCGAGCGTGCGATTGGCGATTGGCAAGCTTGTTCGCGAAAGTGGGATTGCAAGCTCGACCCGGATATTGGCAAGGCTCATTGCCTACCATGTGTTTGGCAAGGCTAGTTCGCGAGCGTGAGATTGCCAAGGTGCTCTGAGCCCTTCGACTGGCAGGCTCGGTGAATGTACGAGATAGTTAGCCAGTCACGTCCGCTAAGGCCGACAACGCGAAGGTCGTACCCGCCCCCGCCCCCGGCACCTCACAGTCGTCGTGGTCGAGGACAGTAAGAGATGGATATAGAGTTCTTCCTTTTCCCGCGAATCCACACATGCTTGTAAATTACAAAAAAAGCGACAGCGACTCTTCTCGATGCAATATGTGCCTCTCTACAGTAGACCGACGCACAGCGCGAAAGGTATATCGGCAAAAAGGCAACAAACTCATGCAGTAATATAAACATACCCGCAAGTACAATGGAGTCCGTAGCGGAAATACGCCCTCAACTCCCCCCATGGCAAAAAAAAAACGCGACACATGAGTCATCATCGCCACCCTCCACCCTCTCCAGATGACAGGCTACAACACGAAGCGCCACCACATGTAACTCACAAGAGTAGACACCATAAAACCAAGAGAATGGTCGCTACAAGAGACACAGCGTATGCCACAAAAGGCACACCGAGATATCACCATAACCCGCCTTCTCACTCTCTCCATCACAAGACAAGCAAAAACAACCGACACAATCGAACACCCGCAGACCACAACACTAGAAACGCCCCCGCACGCAGGGGCACAAGAAGAGACACCCCTCTCTACTTCTACGCGCAGCCTATGTACCGTCCTCGAGGAACTCAACATTTTACACGTGCATATACATGATTCGGATACTTGAACAACACCCCGCGAGCTTTCTTGGTCGAACCCGGCAAGGGTCAGACCACCAGATAGCAACAAACACGTGGATAAGACGTACTCGCAAAAACCATACAAATTCCTTGGCGAGAGGAAAGTCCGCGGCTTCGCGCACCTCCTCCGTCAGCCACGACTAAAAAACCTCAGCAAGAAGAGTCACCACCCTCTCTACGACAGTCTAGATGTAAAACTAAGACAATGTACCACAACAACAACGGTACCAAACCCTGTGCCATTCGACCGGCACCGTCCGCCGTGCAACGTCGACGACCTCGCATTATTTTACAAATGAACAGGATGCACACGCATCCCTCGAGCCTCTCTCGACAAACACATGATCACCCGTAGTTTTACAGAACCCCCGCCCGCGCAAAAAAAAAAAAAAAAACAAGCACCGTCTGCAGTCACAGACAAAAATACGAAACCAAAATTTAAAGACACACACGTCGGCAACAACAACGGAACAAGACCGTATTTTTCTACGCGCAGAGTACCCTACCATTCGACTAGTTTACCGTCCGCCCTGCAGCGTCGACGACCTCACACTATTGTACACATGAGGATATGAACACGACGAGGTGATCTCATAATTTACATGATCATCCGCAAGTTTACAAAAATCCGTGCCCCCACGACTAAAACAAAAAAATGCAGCAAGCGTCGTCACTTCTCCCATCACGGGAAAAAACGAAACAAAAATGCCTTCTGTTGGCAGTGCGCGAAAAAGAAAGCTAGACACACGCCAAACCAAACCACAGCGACTCGCGTCCGAAGAGACATGGTCGGTCGATGGTGCCACCTTGCGGCCTCCCACCTGCGTTCACTTTCGCCGCGCACGGGGGGTTCTGAACAGGCTGTGGTACAGGCCAAGAGGGCACAGCTTCTATCCAGAAGCCTCTCCCGCTGCTCCTGCCTCTCCGGCAGCTGCTCCCGTTGCCGCCCCTTCAGCAGCTCATCCAGCCGCGGCCGACGCCGGACTCGAAACCGTCAGGTACGGCTTGAAGAAAATGTCCGCGTCTGCTTTGGACGTAATGTTGTCCGGCGTCAGCTTCTTGTCTTTGACGATCTTGGACACGCAATTGCCCAAAAATACGCGCACCCTGCAAGAAAGGAAAATGGGCGCGAGCCGAGAGAGAACAGGAGGCGACGCTCAGCCCGTGTCCCGAGGGCGATTGCA